CCAGTGACAAAAACTGCTGCCCGTCTTCCTCCCCGTTCCTTTGATCTGCCATATTTTAACCGCCCTCAGCGTTTAAATTGGGACAGGGGAGCAGACTAGTCGCCATATTTCCAGAATACGGAAGCGGTATGTATTCGGCGAAAGGTGTAATATATTGCTGAAATTGTCTCATAATTAACCGATTCACGCAAAACAACATTGCTGTTTAAACACAGATGTAATCTTCTAAATACAAGGTAATTCAGAATGGATATGGGGATCACTTCCATCTTGAAATCGCAGGCAGTCTTCATCTTGGTCGTCGTAATTTTCCTTATTTGCAATGTTTTGTGTGACACCGATTTTAACCCGTATACCGTACTCGGAGTGAGCCAGACTGCCAGCGTGTTGGAAATCAAGAAAGCTTATAAACAACTCGCTAAAGAATGGTAAGCATGATCATTTAACAGTCTTTGTCGTGACGCATTCGATGATGTCAAATTGTTCATAGAGACAGTATCTGAGGGCGAGTGTTGTGTGGGTGTTATGAGTTACTGGTCTCATAACCGAGTGGTGATCCCGGTTCCCAGTTTACTTACCTCAAGTATGATCAACTTGCCTCGCAAACTACAAAAAAACAAACAGACAAGACATATATGCTTCCAGCATGCCAAGCGTAATGAAAAAAAGACATGATGAATGAACTTTTTCACCTGTATTTTACAAACATGAATTTTACATACTGGTATGTTTTTTTATTTCAACCCCTTCTAAAACTGTACTGTATTTGCAGGCATCCTGACAAGAATAATGCTCCTGATGCAGATGAGATGTTTATGAAGATCCAGGCTTCATATGAGGTAGGTCTTTATAGGCAAATTGTAGGTTTTTATAGGCACCTTGTAGGTCTTCATAGGCACCCGGTAAGTCATTATAAGTACCTGGCAGGTTTTTATATGTACCCGGCAGGTTTTTATATGTACCTTGTAGGTCTTTATAGGCACCTGGTAAGTCTTTATAAGCACCTGGTAAGTCATTATAAGTACCTGGCAGGTTTTTATATGTACCCGGCAGGTCTTTATAGGTACCTTGTAGGTCTTTATAAGCACCTGGTATGATTTATATGTAGCTGCCAGCTCACTAATGTATAATACCAGTAGGTACAGTTTAATAAAGGTCCAAGGAAATTTCTATTTTAATTTCAGTTCATTTGATAATGATCCTTACCAGTTTATAATCAAAAGTATTTTTCAATTTTGGTAAACATTGTTGAGACAAGTAAAGTAACTTTTGTAAACCATAAAAATGTTTAAGTATTCACTGCCACAAATTACATTTGAAATATTAAATTGGATTACCGTATTTTGATTGGTTAATACAAATCATGTGATCATCCCAATTATCATTTTTAGATCCTTTCAGATGAAGAAAGAAGGCGTGATTATGACAATTACGGACACACGGATCCAAACCAACAACAACGTGGGTTCAGTGGTTTTCATGGCTTTCAGGGATTCCAGGGGTTCAATGAATTCCAGGGTTTTGATTTCCCATTCAAACGTAGCAGTAACAGTGACCAGCGTCATCGAATTAACACAATGGGTTATCATTCACGTGTACTACCACTTAGCAACAAGAAACCATTTCTCATCTATGTGACTGCTGATTGGTGCTTTACTTGTATGAGGGTGGAGCCAGTCTGGGAGGCTGTCGTCAAGGATCTAGAACCCTTAGGTTAGTGAGAAAATGTAATTATTTATAAAAGTGGTAAAACTTCAAGACTTCTTCTATAAATCTCTGAAATAGCAGAATTTGCATATTCATAACTGTGAGCAGAAAATGTACCCCCAAAGGCAGATAAAAAGATACAGATAAATTATAGTCGCATGCGCTGAGGATCCCACTGATATGCACAATGGACCAGTGATTTTGTCTGTCTAAGGGACAACATCAAAAGTTCAATGTAGGATAAAAAACCTAATTCTATTAGTTTTTCCCAAACCCCCCCCCCCCCCACTGAAACTTAATTGATAAATATTGATCATGGCGTCAGACTACATTCACCATTGAATACAAATTGATAATCCATGCCCTGAAATTGACCTCATTTGACGTACATATTTACACTCGGACCAAACCATTTTTTCGTCTTGGATGTGTTTTTTTTCATTTTCTGTTATTTTTGTCCATGATTGGATAGAAAAAAACGAACTACAAATACTCCAAGATTTGTTTGACTTCCTTAAAAAATAAAATCATTTTTGTAGGATGGAAACTTTTTGAGGGCAAAATCCCCCCACCCCCAAACTAAAGCAAATAAGTTTTTATCCGACATTGATCTTTTGACGTCGTCCCTAAGAAACATTTTGGTTCATCTCGGGATGCTAGTATTTCCAGTGTTTGTAATGTGTGTTCTGCTTATGTCTGCCATCTTGAATTGAATTGCATGTCCATTAGATAATTTCCATTTCCACAATTGAATTTTCCATATTTACTGATGACTGTCCTGGACTTTGAACGTTTCTATAGATGCAAATAACCACTGAGGTCTTGTTGAGAATAAGAAACACACAACACTTGTTTTTGCCCCTCAAATAAGGTTCCATTCTCTCCCCTCATCAAATCCACTCTCCCAAATACCATGGTTACATAGATTAGTGGAACAGCACACTCCAAACACTGGCGGCGCCCTCACTTCTGTTCCTCTCGTTCGGGTTTTCACCACTGCCACACCGTAATTTGCATATGTTCTGTAATTTGCATAAAAAATGTGGTGATTCACCAAACAAAGATTATATGCGTATAACCTTTATGTCTTTTCACAAAATAAATACAGTGATGTTCATAAATATGACATCATGCAACAGAAAGTGTCTTTAGGTGTATACGTGTCACTTTTGTACGAGATCTATTTTTCAAAGTGGAAGTACCGGTACATTCATGTTTACATGTGTGATGTTTGGCTAAAGGAAAAAACCTGCTTTCGCATGTCAAAGTCTGTTTTATTTTATCAAAACTACTTACACTAGTCTTGCGAATATTCAAAGTTCATATACAAGAGCGAAAAAAAAATATTTCAAAATTACTGTGCGACATGAAGAGAATTCGAACATCTTTGATTACGCTCTATAGAACATATGCAAACTACGGTGTGGCAGTGCTGAAAACCTGAACGAGAGAAACAGAAGTGAGGGCGCCGCCAGTGTTTTGAGTGTAGTGGAACAGTGAACACAATGGAGAGAGAATGGAACACTATCCTATTAGGGAAAACCAAACTCAACTGGCTCTCCCGCTCTCAACTAGATCTTGGCGGCCATTTTAGATCTACATGTAGTTTGATTGACACATTTTAATTCCATACTTTGCGAAATACATGAATTTGCAATGCATGCTTGCAGAATCTTCATTACGATTCACTAGGTAACATTTTATGTGAATTAATTTTAGTGACCACATTGTTTTGTTTTCTATTCCTATTGAATACATGTTTATTCTCCAAAAGTCAATATTTCGATGTCTGAATTCCTTGTGTCTGTTTGTACAGGTATCGGCATAGCTGTTGTAAATGCTGACTATGACCGAAGACTAGCTGAGGAACTCGGCGTACGACGAGTACCTGCCATAGTCGCAGTAGTTGCAACCAAGCTCTACCATTTTACGGCTATCAACACGTTGAGTGTGAAGACATTACGAACATTTTTAGAAACACTGTTTCCATATGACTTGGTAACCATGGTGAGTTTGGCAGCCATTTTGTTTTGTCACATAGTTGGTAGATTACTATTTGTCTACCCAGCATTTCACATTTCTTGCATTTATGAAAGGGCCAATGTTTGCAGTTCTGATTAAAAAAAAAAGAGGACTATGAATAATTTACAATTTAATCAAACAAGAAATAATATTTTGTACAAAAAACACTAGTGAGTCTCTTAAAGCAGTTTCACTATCACTAGAATCTTTTTTTTGCCAATGAACCCTTATTTTTTGTTGCTTACTATTGCTGTGATTTTTAATCGTTGAACTTTGAAAACTTTTTTTGCAGTCCCAAAATTTATCATTTTTGTTTTTATTTTGAAACATAGGGAATGAAAACTTGTGATAGATTTTTTCAATATTCATATCAACACTCAAGGCCAAAGTTTAAGCCTTATACACATATATACTGTTCGCTTGACCTTAAAATGTATGTATTACTACATGTATACCAATGGCGATCTTTCCCTGCTAGTTATATTGTGAAAATACATACACATACATAATGTCACTATTGACCTCTTGTTCCTGAAAAGTGCCATGTCATGTGGGTTACATAGGGAACTTGTGTGCCAGGGTTTGAAGTCCTTAGCTGTTACCCTTTGTAGCCCCACACTGAACATACATAAACACATACTGTGAGCATGACTTTCTTTTTGTCTCAAAAATACACCCAGGTGTTGTGAGTCGCATGTGGAACTGCCATGTTTTGAGGTTTTTATTTCAGCAACATTAAAACATCTGTCATTAAATGAGTACTATACAAATCATAGTCATCTTTATTTCATACATTTACATCTTGTCTCATTTTCTCAGGTGAACAGTGATAATTCTCAAAATTTCCTTAGTGGCTGGAAAGATAATAAGCCCAGGTCATTGCTTTTTTCAACCAAATCCAAGCCTCCACTGTTATACCTGACTGTTGCTTACGAGAATCGAGAGAGAGTCGCTTTTGGCTTTACATCAGTCACTGCGAGAGACAGCAAGGACTTGAAGAAAAAACATGACATTAGTTCATCTGGACCAACATTGTTAATATTTCAAGAAGATACTGATAACTATGTGCACAGATTGGAGGTCAGGAATATTTTTTTTTTCTGATAATAACGACTATCAATGGTATTTCTTTCATCCTCCAGCACACTTAAGGTAGAGATGCAGTTTACCTGACAGGTATTTTAATTAGTTAATTAGGAAACCAAGATGACCTCCCTTGTCCACAAAACTATATATTTTCGGAAAGCTTATTGTATGAATTTTAAAATTTTGTTAGTATTTTTTTTATGGACACTGTAGTTTGAAATATGCACAAAAATGTGCTTTTTTGGTCAAAAGTGATTTAAAAAAAATTAGCTTCTAAACCATGCTTTTGTTTCCTATCAAAATTGGTTTATGGGTACATCTGTTTACTATGAAGAAAGTGCCGTCTTGAGAACTGTCTACCAGTTATCAATTTTGCAGGGCAGCAGCTCAAATTTCACTACTTAAAGTTTATGCATAAATTAAAACCCAGGCTAGTTGTCTGTACGATTGTTGTAACACTGTTCAACCAAAAACAATGCCCCGACAGCGTTTTGAAGATAAACACATTGTCAATCATTTCAAAACAAAAGGTCAAAGCGTCTAGAAGCTATTTTTTTTAAAGTTCTGGGATGTGCACTAAAAAGAAGCTGAGATAATTGCTAATTTGCATAACCATTCACTCAGTAAGAAGTTTGCTAATGCTCATAATTAAAATTGCTGTAACAGTTCCAACAGTTAGAAGTTAAATATAGTGCATAATATGGAGATCCCGTCATTTCTTTTTTTCACCATGTTTTTTTTTATTATTTATGTACAGCCTTGCTAAATCTTGCTAAGCATTCAAAAGAGAGAATTTTGCACCTGTTATCTATATTTTAAAATCGTTTTTTGAGTATGTTCCACTATTCACAATTCTACAAAATTTTAACAGTCTATAGCCAAGACTGTTCAGATAATAAAAAGCAAAAAAAAAAATTTCACTCCCAAGTGAACCTGGACCTCTACCTTAAGCCTTTAAGCACCATAATTTTTCATGGCAAAATTTTTGTCCAACATTTTGCCTGTTTTTCTGTATTTTTCTTTAATTATTTTCTTAGTTTTGGACCTATCAGACATAATTCTCTTTTAGATGCTGGTCTTGATCATAATTATTATAAAATTTTGTGAGTTTTAAAATTTTTGAATGGTGACATAAGTTGACTTTGGGATTCATAGGGTTAAGCATACACAAGTATGAACCAGACTGATTTACATTGGCAACAAAAATCTTGTATCTTCTGAATTGTCAGTTTGTTGAATAGGTGCAAAACAACATACCATAATTCGTCAATTTTTGTTTTCACCAAATGAACAGATTTTCACATAAAAACCAGTTAACACTGTCAGATCGTTTTTAATCAACAAAAATAATACTGAAATTATCAAAAACTACAGAAAGTATAAAACTACATCACCGTTATTTAGGCGCGGGCATATCTGGTCTCTTTATCACCATCACTTTTAAAATCCAATAAATTTTTATAATTTTTTTTTTAAATTCTGATTAGGGCTTGTAGCTAATAGAAGATTATGTTTATTTGGTTCAAAATTATTCACAGAAATATAAAAAATAGACATAAAAACAAATTTGGGTCGGTAAAATGATAGCGCTTAAATATGACATAAAGCATTCCAGACATCATTATTATATACATGTTGTATTGTCAAATACAATGGGGTATGTAAAAGTGTTTGCGACTAATATTTAAATATTTTCATTCAATTCATGTCAGCTAAGCACCAAATAATTATTATCGACTATTTTGTGTTTCAGGCAAGCTCTATGCAAACTGGTGCCATACGTGATGCAGTGAGAGGTCATTATTTTCTAACCTTACCAAGATTGTCATCACAGGCCGTATTTGAACAGTTATGTTCACTTACATCAGCACATTCAAAACAGTAAGTTAAAAAGTGGTGGTCGTGCCACGTATGCACTATATATGAGACCCATACGAACGAAGATGAGTGATGAGTGCAAAAAAAAGATGTTATCATTGTTTAACTAGGTAATTCATTTGACGATTGAAACATGTTATAATATATTCCAATATGTCAAAGACTATATTCAGTTGAAATGTTTACCTTGCACATGTGTGGCTCAATGACCACCATCCTTTATAAAAGTCTGACTAAACAAATTATGCAACTTAGTATTTGTTTGTTAGATAGTGAGAATGAATTCAAGGTGCATATCAGAACAAAATTCTAAATCTACATTATACTAACTTTAAGCCAAAATTAATTTGGGATACCAACCGAGTAAACACATGGCATATATTTTAGATGTCGTACTCGTCTGACTTACTGCCCAGTGTGCTCAGCTCATAAAATGTTTTTTTTTTCTTAGACAGCGCCCTCTGTGTTCACCATGTGTTAGATTAGGGAGAATAAAATTCTGAAATGAGTTACATTCATCATTATCAATTTTCACATCTCTTGTACATTAAAGAAACAAAAATATGCACATGCATTTTATTACAATATTATTTACATACCATCAGAAAAATTCATCATTAACTCTTTAAATGTTGAAGCAGTTTCCGCCCATAATTCATTTTTTGTGCTGACCTGCAACAATGCCCTCTATCCTGACAGGTCAAATCAGATATTAACCAATCATATGCCGTGTCATACTGACACAGTTTTTCAGGGTTTTCTAAATATTAATGATGGCATTTTTTATCAATGTTTATCTAGCATATGCTGGCTCTGATTTCGATAAAAAAACAGTGAGATTTAAAAAAAATTCAATTGGTGAATCACAATATTCGAAAGGTACTAGGGTGTTGAAGTATTTGCACCTTTTCTTGGCTGACAACAGGTCACATAGAATGTAGTTTACCTATTCATTCCTCATTCACTGTTTGCATACCTGTATCATACATTGTAACATTTAAGTGTGTTAGTACCCAAAGATCGTTTTCTCTAAGTATTCTTTAAGTACCAATAAAAACGCATGCACCGGTAAACCTAAAATTACATTTGTTGCATGTGTACTGCATGTATGTGACACAGAAAGCATAAATGTATATTAATGTACATGTACTTCTAATACAAAAAATATGGTAAACGTATACAAAAAAGTATTGTAAAAGTAACAAACCATGCAACTTTTAAGTAAATTTATTGCCCTTTTTTATATTGGTTGTCTGGGAAACAGAATACCGATACTTGCATCAACCGTTCATAATTTTTTTTTTCAGATTCTGTGTCATTTTGATCACAAGTGATACAAGTGCACATGATGAAGGTAGAGCTGTGCTCAGAGACTTTGTTAAAAAGAGCAATTACCCAAGAAACAAGGTCCGTTTCTCTTACATCTATGAAAATACCCAGAATGCATTTGTGAAGGCACTCAGCAAAGGTCGAGTACTTCAGAACGACTGGCCATTACCGGTAAGTTAATAAACAACATAAGTAAAAATTCAAGTAAATATAATGTAAACCAGTATAGTTGTCATGGAAACTGGTGTATTTTTATGATACAATAATGTAATTCCGGTATGTCACTATGGTGAAAAATGCTATTTCGGAGTTCTTGAAAACGATTTGCCTAATTGCTACAATATTTTTATATAGGCACTTTTGGTGGTCGCATTTGAATAATTTTTTTTTTTGACCATAACTTTGATTCTCTAATTTTAGTGAATATGTCTGGCATTTTTGGTAAATAAAGATGTGGACCTTAGTGGAAAGTCTGTCCTCCCTCTATGTATGTGAAATACTAATACCATACATTCACTATTATCTGAAAAACAAGAAGATTTATTCATTTCATAAATAATCACTTATGATATCATTGTTCATGTAAAATACCATTAAAAAATGGGTACAAATTTACCTCTGTGCATCTGTACCAATACTCTTGACATTTAGTCTGGCTTGATCAAGTTCAGATTTCACACATGCATCACACATCATGTCAAATGTACATTCATTTGATGACCCAATTCCAGATGTCCGAATGGTGGCCAATTAATATTTAAAATGTATATTCGCATCTTGTCCTGAATCACTACGACACATAGAGGTGAATCTTTGTGAATCAACTCATGTTGAAACACTATTCAAAACATAACAATAAAATTAGAAACTGAAAAATGGATGTGCTGAAAATATTTGAAAATTTTATTTAGCATGTATTTTCTGCAATTCATCAAAAAAGCAGACTCTCAATAATTTCACCCAATAGGGATCAATAAATCTATATGAATGAAATAAATTTGAAATAAATAATATTTGATACTCAAACACAGTTAGCAGTAATTTGGAGGAAGAAAACAACCAGAGTTGCCTACGAATGGCTACCTACGGGATGGAGTGGGAAACAAGAACAGAGTGAGGAAGACAAAGAAAATCTTCGAATATTCCTGGATAAAATCCTTTCCGGAAGCATGTTACTACCAAAAGAATCAGATGTTGAAGACTTAATTGATGAAAACTATGTAAGTACCTGTAGGCTGCATAACATTCATGTAAAATAGAAGTTATTTGATCCATCTTTACAATTATTCCATTTTTTGGTTCACAGTTATTACCGTAAATTTGGTATTAGAAGTCAAATACAGTTTTTTGAGCAATCAACAACTAAAAATTCATCATTTCTCATACTTGTAGATACTCTAATAGAGCTGCATCCTCTCTGTTGCATTGTACCATTTGATCTTTCCACCACCAGTTCTCTCTTTTCATCACAAAATTCACAAAATAATGCCGTCTGCACTTTCCTTCAGAAGATTTGGACAAATCAGGTTGGCTCCAGCCTTAGAGTTCTTTCCAGAAATACTGAGGAATGTATGAAAAAAGTGCAGACAAATTTGGACGAGAAAGTCTGGTGGTGAAAAGGTTAATAAATGTTGCGGCTTCTAATTTTACAGTACTTGAAGTGCTGTTTGAATAACTGTACAATGTTGGCTGCTTCAGAATTTTGCTATCTTTCCTAAATATCAAAAAAAAAAAAATCATACTGGGAGTCATATCTGACTGGATTAGCAGCTGTTGTTGCCATCGTGATGTCAACACCAATGCAGACTATTACCTCCTTATTTTCAAAATCTTTCATGAGGATTTGCTATAAAATGAAATTGTTAAGCTATAGAAAATTGGGGTCACTCGATGATTATTATAGATACGATCAATGAGAATTTGATCTATTTGTTTCAAAATTATAAAAGACATTATCGCCAAATTAATATATGTGTACAGTGTTCTGCTAACAATTTATAATTTTCTCAGAAACCTGCTAAAAGTGTTAGGGGTTTACTCTATGTGTACGTTTTATCATATCCCTAAATATATGGCAAAAAAATCATACGCTGCAATAAAATGGGTACTTATGATCATCACAAATTACTGTAGAATTACTTTATTTTCTTTTGGAATTAATTTTCGCTATTTTCGCTGAAGGGATGATTCAGCGAATATACATGTTTTCCTATATTTTACATTCAACTTGTCAAAAATCAGTGAAAATATAAATTCCATACAAAACACTTAAAAAGTGTTTTCAAAAAAATGTTTTGTATCAGGTGAAGTTAACAGGGATTTTATGAAATATTTCCTAATGAATAATTATGACATTTTTGAAAAATCGAAAACAAAATTGTGATAATTTTTTCACCATTACATTTATTACATGAAATCCCTTGATCTACTACTAATTTTGTTGTTTTCATTTTTCATTTCAGAGTACATTTACAGTTGTGTTTGATACGTTAGGTGGTTGGTTTAGTTATGTTATCAACTATGTCAGTAGTGCTAGATGGTACGGGTAACACAAACTATATTTGACTTACTATTTTTGTGCGAAGTCGGTGACAGCATTGCATGACACGACGTGACTGGTGATGTAATATAATGTACTTATCGCTCAAAATACAAAAGTGGATGAGCAGCTGTTGTTGTCATAGTGATGTCAACACTGATATATTTTCACACTTTTTCACGATTATGAGGATTTACTAAAAATAAAATTGCATAACTGTTGAAAATTAGAGTAACCTAATAATTATTATTATAAATATGAATCCCAATCTTTCAAAATATATGTAGTGTTATACAACTTAGTGAGTTGCCAGGGTGATAATAGTTTTCCATTATACTGTAAAGGGGGTAATTATTCACTGGGTTTCAATTTAGCTTATTTCGCTGACTGGAAAATGCGCTAAATTAAAACCCAGTGAATATGTAAAATGTAGCATAGAACACATTATCTAAATGACGAAACCGTGAACTTAAAACCCACTGAATATGCCTGAAATGGTAAATCAGTGAAATTCAAACCCAGTGAAAATTAGTCATTTTACAGTGTACAATAGGAGGTTATTACCCATAATGCATTGCATATATGAGCATTAACATGCTCAGTATTTAAATATTTGAATTTGAGTAATTGGGCAAATGAACGCTAGCACTTCATAACATATACTACAAATGTATTATAATAGTTTGTTCATCTTAACACTAGGGAAGACGCTGGTTGGTTTATCGTATTTGCGCTGATAATCTACAGTCTTGTTATGCCGATTTTTCAAAATAGTAGACCCAGGTATTAAAACAGTTACACACCTTTCTTGTGTGAGGGCGCTCTTTGTTAGTTGATAATTAGCCAATCACCCTCTAGTGGAAATATGTTGGAAAAATGAGGAAATATCACCATATTTCTTTATTCTGCCAGCAGAGGTATCTTCTGTTCATGTTGTGGGAAGTTTTTTTTCCACCTAAATTTTTAACATTTGATAATTGAGTTTATTCACAAGAGCTCAAAAGGCTCCACTTAAATTTATAAATAATTTGTTGGTTTACAGAATTGAAAAGGCTAAAACATTTTTAAGAGCGCCCTCACAATTTCATTCCCAGTTTCTGAAAATGTATTTTGTTTTTATTTCCAGGGAGGAGTCAATATTAACACTGTCAATGCTTGCTTTATATCTGCTTCCAATTCTGCTCGTATTTGGTAGCGCTTTTTCATTCAGCAAATCAAGGTGAATTGTTTTTCTGTTTCCATGGTTTTGATTATTATTCACAATTCATTCCTATTTTCCTGAGTTCATCAAAATTTTCTTCCTGTTCATACTAAAAAAATGTCTATATTGCGCAAATGACTCAAAAACCGATGGAACTAATAGTATGAAGTACGTATGTTGAAAAAAGATGAACAGTGCCCTCTTGTTTCTACTATGGCTCCCTCTAGTGTTGCTTATAAGCGTATCTTTATTCTTTTCAGTGGGGAGCCAAGAAGACAAAGGAGAAGTCAAGAGGATAACATTTCTGTGAACGCAGAAAGGTAGCAAAGATGGTTTATCTATGTAGCCAGTATTTATCAGATTGAAGATTCATATTACCCATTCATACTATCTCCGTCAGTCGGCTCATTTACAGACTTGGAAATAAAGGAAAATACAACTAAAGCTTACACATGTATTGAAAGAAATGTGTCAATCGTCCCCAAGGAAACAGCTACGCTAGATTATTTCTGGGAACTGAAGATAGCAATAGTACACAGGAATAACAGCTTTTTGTCCCCATTTGACAAGACACCATTCATATGAATGCAATAAGTCTGGCAAGTGGGAAAAATGTAGTTTTTCTGCACAGCTGATTGGCAGCTGACCGGGATGATGGCTGGACACACTAACCATTGTACCATACATAGGTTTGCATTGTACAACTTACAGAGTCATTCAGGATTTGCAATAATTTACTGACTTCAACATATCAAATAGAAACTGGAAAATACAACTAAAATTACATATCACTATGCAATTTTACAGCGTAATTGAATATTTGAATCCAAATAGGAATCTGAATCATATGTTAACTTCAGCAATGTTTTCTAAATCATGAATGACGAATCAATAGATGGATAGCCTTATCCTCATTCTTGATTAGAGCACGCATTTATAAAGATTTTTCCAATCCGAATCATATGCTTAATTGCATTTATAACAATAACATAAATCTACAAATGATTAAAGTTATAACAGTTATTTTAACATTAATCGTTTTTTTCCTCCAGCTATATTTTGTAAATATATAAAATTTTATTAGAAGTTTGCATCGCATCATTCCCGTCACGTTTCCAAGGATATGAAAATGTCCATACTTGCAGCAATGCATTGTGGTATAACATTCACTTTTTGTGTTTTCTATCCATTTCAGAAATGAAGTAATCTTGACTATTCATGAAATGAACACTGCTAAGTACAGGGAGTGCGTCATTAATTCGCAACCAGGGAAATTAACATTGGTTTTGTTAATTGATCGAAAACACAAAGCTAGTTTATTAGAACAGTTTAAAAAAGAAATAGAACCACATTTGATCAGGTGAGTACTGTAAAACTAACCCTTTCAATGTTTTTTTTGTCACCGGAAGTTAATTTTTTTATTAAACAAACTGGCCTATATAGGTTTTGTTTCCCAAATTTCTTTTACATATGGACATTGAAGCAAAGTCAAATGCAGAGTTGCGTTTATGAAAATATGTTATAGTTTAGGCAATGTAACATTTGCTAGGTTTACACGGCAGCATTTTATCAGAGCCGAGATATTGCTCCTCTCAACAATTAACAGAAGGTTATCTTTTGTGTCTTTATACGGTTGTGGCCGAATGTGTTTTGAGTTTAGCCCAATTCATTGGATGACTGGGTTTTCTCATTGTCATGGTAAATTTTGCTGTCTCCAGCCAGCTCAAGCTGTTTTGTTCTGTGTAAATAAGGTGTATGTTGCAATCATGGTGTAAAGTATACTGTAAAAGGATTAATTATTCACTGGGTTTTAATTTTGCTTATTTCGCTGACTGGGAAATGCGCTAAATTAAAACCCAGTGAGTATGTAAAATTTAGAATAGAACACATTATCTAAATGATAAAACCATGAATTTGAAACCCACTGAATATGCCTGAAATGTTAAATCAGCCGGCAAAATTTAAACCCAGTGAAAATTAGTCATTTTACAGTATTCTATAAAGAGAAAATAGAGAGATCAATCATTAATACTCTTTGATCTTTGTGCAATAGAACTATCCTCATATAAAACACTTCTTAGTCCACTTTGAAGCTGTTAGCATAATGTGCTACCGTATCTTCCTTTGTAAACTATGCATCATTTAATAATAAATGCTTAACTTTATTAACCATTAAGGTTCTGGATTCTTGCTCTGACTCTGCTTAATATGTATATTTATATACCATATTGCTTATCATTTTCCATCAGTTTTGATTCTGTCGGCGTGACATGTACTTATCTTCCCGTGGAAGCCTATTATCAATGGTTTGAAAATCTGCACTCAGTATCAGAACAATCAACAGATCACGGGAAAAAATATTGCGGCACGGTACTGGCAATCAATGGACATAGAAAATATTATTCTTTATTTGAACCTCATAAAAGGGATGCTTTGAATGGTGAGGCAAGGCAGAGACGTTTAGATGGAGAATTTTTGGGTTTTGATAATGATGAAGACACGGAGGAGGACAGTTATTTGCTGCTGCACCTGAACATGTGGTTAGAGCGGATGTTTGACGGTTCATTGCAGAGATTTATCGTGGATGACTGGCCTGTACTTAACGCCAACAATGTCAGATAGCTTTCTATTCTAGGACTTCAGTTATCATAATACTTGTTGTAGATTGTGTTTTCAATGTCCTCCTGCTATGATTGGTTCATGGTCATCACATGACATGATCTTTTGCTGATGGGTAGATATGGTAGCTGATGTGTAGATTGGGCTGCTGGCGGGTTGAGTTGAGATGAGGGTTGTTGTTGGATGGGATGGGTTGCTGATGGGTGGGTTAGGCTGCAGATGGTTTGGGTTGAGGTGAGTGTTGCTGTTGGATAAGATGGGTTGTTGCAGGGTGGATTGGGTTGCATATGGGTGGGTTAGGCTGATAATGGTTGGAATGAGGTGGGTTGCTGATGGGTATGTTGTCATTGGTTGTGGATAGATGGTTGTGTGAGGGATAATTGGAAGGTATACATGTTGAATTAGCTTAACTATGACTTTTTTACGCTTGTTGACAGAATTCTTAAAACCAAAGCTCATATGAGTGTGGATACTGTTTAAACACAATTACCAATTAGAATTTATAAAGAGAAAAAAACAGTTAATTAATTTTTTAATAATTATTAAATTATTTATAATATTATATTTATGTGCATTTTACCATGGGTGTGTGTATGAAATAAACCGCAATACTGCATAGTTGACAGTCTTCAACTAGTGACACTGACACTGTAGGTGTAAGGGAATTATTTTTCTTGGAAATGTGTAATATTATTTTATTTTTACCTTGCCCGTATCATCAAAGATGGAAGGGAAAAGTATATTAAGGAAAAAATTTCTGTCCGTCGTTGTCGTCGTTAATAATTGTTATTGTGTGCACAATAACTTTATTAATTCTATTCCAAACTTTATCAAACTTGGTCACCTTATTCATCAATATAAAGTCTTCCCTGAGTTTTAACAACAGATGTCCTGTATGAAAATATCATGCGAAAATCTGATAAAATATTTTGACTGTTTCTCCTTGACTGATCACTGGTGATACACATCAAAGGTCACTGATCTCAGTGGAAATATGCATTTTTGTCTGTGTTCAATGAAGCAAATCATTTATCTTGTAATAATATCCTTGGTAATGTATCTCCCAAATCCCATGGGAATACTAGACTGGGTTTCAAAACTAACTCATGGAGAGACTCAGAGTTTTTGCACTGTCTGATACACATTTGCAAACCTAAAATCTTTACAGGAAACAAGATAAGCACTTGTATACATTGGGTGCCAAACTTTGATCAAGATCTGAAGCTAATAGAAAATCTGTTTGGTCCAAAGTTATCAAATCGAAAACAATACATAAATGATACATAAAAGCAAAACGTTGCATCCACATTTTGAAAAGAAAATTGTACTCAAAAATAGGTATTGTGTATTTGACAAACAGTTCATTCGACAAATGAAAATTCACAGGAACTTGTTTCAGCTATTAGAACAGAATAAGAGCTTTTGTAATAATAATAATTTAAAAACACACTTTAAAAACGATTGCAGTGTTTGAAGATGTAGCTTCTCAGGAGGCATAAGTACTGTTGACTTCTTTCTCCACTGGACACCAACTAACTATTTATTAAAGTTGATTTGCATTACAAAGCAGAGCTTGCAACATGATAGAGGGCGTTTTTTTTACCTTTCAAATAATACAGTAGTCACACAATGAATATAACAAGTAACCTGTAGAATGTTGTGTGGGTAATATTTTTATATTGATTTTTGTTGCATTTGCAGCAAATAGTTACCAAACAATGAGAAATCTATAGGATTGGATATACCTCTCAGCTGGCTTCACATGCATAGTTCAAGACTGCCTAACCGGTGCTTATACCAGGATTTAGTTGCAGCACTGTGGTCTGTGGTTACAGCTTCATTTTCCGAGTAATCACAAGAAATTGACATTATAATATAAAATAAAAGACTGGCACTCCCATACAATTAATAGCAAGTGAAATTCCTGGAATTGAAACATAGATTTTGAAGTCACTGGTGTAGGCATTGAATAACTTCAAGTTGGCATAAAGACGAGGTAGTTTATTTCATCAGTGCTGAACTAGAGGTTGAAATTATAATTAAGTTCGTTGTCATATAATTTGTTTATTTAAATTTCTCCTGAATTCAAATAGAATACACTGGTGAAAGGATGTTTTTGAGGTGTGGTTAAATTGTGTATGGAGTGGTAGGGTTGGGTGTCATATAATTTTTTCATTTTCACTCTCATGAAATCACACAGAATTGCACTTAATTTATTTCGATG